GCCGGCCGCCGACGCGCCGTGGCCCCGCCCCGCCGTGCCCAGGGGCTGGAAGGTCGGCGGGCTGCTGCCGCACTACAGCCCCGCCCTGACGGGTGGGGGCGTGTCGGAGAACTTCCTGAAGGACATGATGCGCGAGATGCAAGGGGCCGGCGCCGGCGGCGGGCCGGGCGGGCTGGACATGGCGAGCATGCTGGCTGCCGCGACGGGCGGCGCTGGTGGTGGTGCGAGTGGGAGTGGGGGCGGCGCTGGGGAGGAGAAGAAGGCCAAGAAGAAGGGGAAGAAGTGAGCGAGCTGCCATGTTTCTTTGGGCGGCTTGGTCGGGGAGGATTTGTCCATTTGTCGCATGCATATATCCATATCCATATCTGCCAGGACCTACATTCCATCCCCGTGTGGACATCAAGACGGGCCCCCGGCCTTGTAGAGAAAGGTCGAGGGGAAATCGCGATATCCATGAACTGCGTTCAAAGACACACGACCACGATAGGCACACGTGGACATGTCAATATCCCAGAGAAAGATGGATTATGTAGTAAAGGGCCAACACCCAAACTGCCGGCCGCGTCACGTTGGACAGCGATGCCTTCTCTGCGCTAGAACAAGGAACCCTTGGCACAGGTCTGCCACGTCTGTTTGGGGCGCACAGACCATCTACACGATGAACCCTCCTTTCTATCAAGGGGAAAAAAGACAGTAGATTTGACAACAAAAAGGGGGTATACCTGTCCATTTGACGAGGAATCTTTTCCATCCATCAACCCTCACGGTACCCGCCTAGTCTCCGTCCTTCCCAGTCATGTCACATCCCTTTCCTTTCAGGTCCATCAAACAGCCGCCAGCCGACCCTGCAGACCCTCCCACTCCCTAGACCCGACGATCTGGACGTGGCCGCGGCCGGCGGAGACCGTCTTGCCGCCGACGCCCGGCAGTCGGATCTGGAGCCGCGCCGCCGCCTTGCGGGCCGCCCTGGCCGCCTCGGACCTGGACGCAGGCAGCGACGACAACGACTCGGCCGGCACGCCGTCGCCGTCGCCGGCCCCGACGAGCAGCACTTGCTGCGACTTGTGCAGGATCGAGTCCTGCCAGCCGCGCCAGACGGCATAGTCCTCGGCCTGCTTGGCCGCGTGGTACTGCGGCGTCGACCGGGCCGGCCGCCACGTCGACGGCTTCTTCCCGGCCGCAGCACCGTCGGCAGAGTCAACAGGAGCAGCAGCAGCGGCCGCCTCCTGGCGGGCCTTGGCCAGATCAAACACCTTGGCCGACGAGGCCATGCGCAGCAGCTCGGCGAGCGCGTCCCGGCCTTCTGCCGCAACGAGTGCGCGCCTGCGCTCCGACGGCCGCGTCTTACGCTGCAGCGGCTCGGCGAGCCAGTCGTGCGACGCCTGCTCGGCCGTGCGCGCGCGCCGGCCGTCCTCGCGCAGGAACCGGACCGAGCTCTGCAGCGCGTCGATCTCGGCGCGGAGCTCGTCCATCTCGCGCGCCGTCGCCACCGCCATCTCGCGGCCGGCGGCGGCGGCCGAGTCCAGCGCCGCGTCCGAGGCCCCGTTGGCGTTGTTGGGGTCGGCGGCGGCGGCGAGGCGCGCGTCGCCCGCCACCTTCTTCCACTTGTCGCGGTCCGCCTCGAGGCCCTTGAGCTCCCGGTCCTGCTTCTCGATGTCGTCCTTGAGCGATGTGGCCGAGGCGCGCTCGCGGGCGACAGCCTCCTCGAGCTCGGCGATGCGCTGCACCTTTTGGTTCGCATCGCGCATGCGCGCCTCGAGCGTCTCGATCTTGACCTGCGCCGTGCTGAACCCTTCCTCGCGCAGCGCCACCTGCCGCCTGGCCTCGTTGTACTCCTCGCGCAGGTGCCGCATCTCCTCCTCGGCGTCGGCCGGCGCCGTGCGCTGGGCACGCAGCTCCTGCGCCCGCAGAACCCACGGCGCCGGGCTCCTCTCAAACTCCTGCGCCTGTCCCAGGTCCTGCGCCAGCGCCGCCAGGTCCGCCACCTGGCCCGATACGACGCGCAGCTGTGCCGCATAGGCCGAGAAGAGATCCGACTCGCTCGACCCTGTGGCCGCGAGCGCCGTCCGGTGGGCGGCCGACTGCACCTCGATGTATGTGTATGGCTCCGTGCGTCCCTCCTCGTGCAGCAGCATGTGCAGATCCAGCCCGATGCGTCGTGCGAGCGCAGCCAGGGCGGCGGCGGCGGCTTCGGCCTGGTCGAAGGCGTCGGCAGAGGCGCCACCCTCGGGAGCCAGCGCGAGCGATCGTGAACGCAATTCCTCGAGTGCCCGCACCGCCTTGCCGGCCACCACCTTGGCGCTCCGGGTTTGGCTGATGGCGGCCTCGGCCTTGCGCGCAAAGTGCTGCGCCAGCTCGTCGTCGTCGCCCGCGGGCGGGATGACGCGCTGCACCATGGCCCGCGTGGCGTGGAACGTGGCGGCCGCCGAGTCCAGGTGGCTCTGCACCATGAGCGCCCGCATGTGCACGTTGTCGGCAAAGGCCTTGAGGTCGACCTTGGCGTCCCCGCCGTTGTCGTCGCCGTTCTCGGCCTCGCCGATGCTGGCCCCGGTCCCGATGTGCACCTCGCCCAGGTGCGTCATGAGCGAGATGGTGCGCGAGAGCTCGTCGGCGCACTGCCTCTCCTTGAGCTCGTCGCGGCGAAGCCCGTCGATCCAGCCGTTAAGGGCGCGCTCCACAGGCTCGAGCTCGTACAGGGCACCCTCGAAGCGCGAGAAGCGCTCGGGCGAGCACTGGCCGATGGCGTTGACGAAGCGCTCGCACATGGCCGAGACCCACGTCAGCTTGTCGACGACGTCGCAGCCGGCAAACACGTCGTCCTCGTGGCCCACATGGGGCTGGCCATTGGCGCGCTCGCGGATGAAGCCGTTGAGCAGGTTTGCCTTGAAGGCGAGGCGGCGGAAGCGCAGCAGCGCCAGGACCGAGTCGCGGTCCGCCTGGTAGCTCTCGGGCAGGAACATCTTGATGATCTCGAGGTGCTGCTCCGCCTCCTGGGCCTCGAGCCGGCGCAGCTCCAGGTCGATGGTCTTGACCTGCGCCTTGGAGGCCGAGATCTGCAGCTTCATGTTGAGATCCATCATGGCGCGCGACTTGCTGTTGAGCTGCTCCGACTCGGTCTCGGTCACGGCGTGCGATGCCCGCATGTCCTCGAGATCCGACTGCAGGCTGGTAACGAGCTCGCGGAAGCGCGACAGCGTGTACTCCATCTCGTCCAGCGAGTCCTCCTGCTGGGCAGACCGCCGCGCCTGCTCCGTGATGACGGCGTTCTTGAAGTCGATCTCCTCCTGCAACTCCCGCTCATGCTGCACGTGGTTGGCCTCGAGCTCGTCCGCGATCTCCTTGAGGTTCTCGAGGTCCTCCACCTCGGCCTTGAGCTCTTCGATCTGCTCTGCCTGTGACATGTTGCGATCCGTCAGGTCCTCGATCATCTCCTCGGCGCCCAAGGCCGTCTCTAGCTGCTGCCTCAGGTCCTCGACTATGGACTCGGTCTGGCTCAGCTTCTCCTTGGTCGCCGCGAGCTGTTCTGCCGCGACGGCAGCCTCCTGCAGGTCGTTCTCCAGGCCCTTGATCTCGTCCCGCATCTCCTTCTCCTGCTGTTGAGACATGTCCCTCAGCCTGATGAGCGCCTCCCTCATCCGTTCGTTGTTCCGCTCCAGCTGCAGCCACCCCGCGCTCGACCTTTCCTCGGGCGTGATGCCCTTGTTGTACTCGGTGTTCTCTTCCCTGAGGATGTCCACCTCGAGCTCGAGCTCCTCCAGCTTCTGCTTGACATCCGAGAGCTCCTGTTTCAGCACCTCGGCCGTCTCCTCGGCCATCTCTCGGTCCAGCGTCGCCAGCTCCAGCACCTGGTCGTGCTCTGCCTGGAGCGTCTCGACCGACTCGACGCGCATCTCGTACTCCTTCAGCTGTTTCCTCAGCTCCGCGTTCTCCTGTTGCTGTGGTTGGAGTTTTGCCTGTATCTTGGCGATGATGGCCTGGAACTTGTCGCGTTCGCCCTGCACCAGGTCGAGCTCCTTGATCTTGTCCCTGTCTTCCTGCCTTTGCCTCTCGAGGACCTTTAACTTGGTCTTGAGGTCCTCGATCTCGCGGTTGGCTGCGGCGGCTCCGGCAGCGGTAGGGGCCCGTACTCGCCCAGCCGCCGGGCCAGTGCTGCTGGCCGCAGGTGCTGGCGCCGGGGACGTGAGCTTCTCCAGCGCCTGGGCCCTCGATCTTACAGGACTGGTGGGCTGAGGAGACAATATCTCCATCTCGCTGGTCTTTGCCGACGTTACCGAGTCGTCACTAGCGCGCTTGGATGACGCCGATCTCCCGTTCATCTGCGTGGAGGGCCTCTGTAGGGAGGGAGGCCGAGCGCCTGGGGGCCTCGGGCCCCCGAGAGAGGGTCGTGCGCTTGGGGGTCGCGCCGGGCCGCCTGCAGGTGGCACTGTCCTGGACGTTGTGGACGACGGTCGAGCAGGTCGTGGCCCTGGCGGAGGAGGGGGGCCCATGGACGTTCTGGGAGCAGGCCCGCCTGTGGAAGGGCGCGCGAGTTTGGCACCAATCGATGTCCTGTTTGTCCCTGCCGCCGAAGGGGTCGCGGTGCGGGAGCCAGGCATGCTAGACACCATCTGCTTCGTTGGAGATTTTGTGGGTGACTAAAAATGTGAGCAAGCCTGCAAGTTAGCATTCAATCGAGCTCCCACTGAGCTTGTTCTGGGGTTGCGGTGGCGTACCCTGACCATGCTCGCCGCCCGCGAGGTTCTAGCTCCCGGGGTCGGGCTCGGGGCGTTGAGGCTCATCCTCTTTGCCATTGTAGGGTCGCTTCCGGTGCCGCGGGCACTCATGCCGCCACCGGTGAAGAGGCCGCCGGTGCTCGGCCTCGGGGCCGGCTTCTTTGCCGCGGGGGCGGCCCTTGGTGCTGGTGCGGGCGGCGGCGCATCGGCGAGGACGGTGCATGTCGTCGGGCGGACGAACATGCCATGGCCGAGGGGGCAGTCGAAGTAGCGCTCCCCCTGGACGCTGCCGTCGTTCTTGCCGGTGTCGTCGTCGAGCTCGACGCCGACCCAGTCGCCTTGGGCGAAGCTGGTCCTGCCGATGAAGCGGATAACGCCCCGTCGGCCATCGCTCAGCTCGATGATCTGGCCTACAGCCAGCTCCGTCATGATGAGAGTGTTGGTCGGGCCTGGATGTGCATGGGCATTTCGGTGACACTCGTTCCCCCGCCTCTCTGGGCTGCCCTGTTCGTGTTCGCGGCCCGGCCTGCTCCCTCCTTTGTCTGGCCTCTTGGACAGGGGCTACCGGTCTGGCGGTCGTAGGCGGACGAAAACGAGGGAGTATCTGGGCCTTTCAGTTATTGAGTGCTGTCCCGAGATGGCATGGGCAGCACAAGCGAAGGAATGTAATGTCGAGGCAGAGGCGGCGGCTGGTGGCGGGTTTAGAGGAGCTATTGTAAAGGTCGATGACCGCGTTGATCGCGTCTGGTCTGCCAGCACTGTGGGTCCAGCATGGAGCTTGCTTGGTTGACCGCAAGTGGCGCACGGACCATTGTTTTCTTTAGCCAACCCTTTTCCAGTCTGGCCGTTCACAATGAGGCAGAAGGGACCAACGAATCAAGTTTATAAACTCCAACACTATAACAACCGATTATCCTCACAACAGTTTTGACCAAGTAAACCCATATCTCCCTTTGATTGTTACTCGACGAAAACCTATAAACTACGTAGAACCAATTAAAGACACCATAAAAGAGACAAAAATCAACCCAAGAACTCAAAGAAACCTTCCAAATCCCCTCTTATAGCTCCCCGCCCTCACCCACTCCATGACCTCGAACCTCACGCGGCGCTCCGTCTTCTCGTCCAGGTGCGGCGCCTGCTGGCCGCCGCTGCTGCCGGCGACGCGCACGACCATGAGGCGCGGGCCCTTGAACTCGACGACGCCCAGGGCCTCGACGTCCTCGGGCGGCGACTTGCGCACGTAGACGAACAGGTCCGGCCCCACGATGCCGCGCCACAGCGTCGCCATCCACTGCCAGTGGTCCACGGGCGCGTACGCGTCGGTGATGGGCACCCGCGTCGCCCACCGGTCCGCCGCCATGAGCTGGTAGCCGCCCTGGATCAGCGCCACCGGTGTCTTGGCCTTGTTGTTGCTGTTGCTGTTGCTGTTGTTGTGACTGTTGCTGCTGCTGCTGTCGGCGGAGGCCGGCGGCGGCGGCTTGGTCGTGATGAACTTGATCATCTCCTCCGACTTGATGTGCCACTTTTGGATGACGCTCATGTACGCCAGCCACGGGTTAGGCTGGTGTCGCTGGACCTGTTGCTGTTGCGGTTGCTGCTGGGGCTTGCTGCTTTCAGACGCCGTCTGGCTGTTGGTGACGCCGCTCATCTCGACGTCGCCGCCCGCTGACGGGGTCTTGTCGCCAGCAACCGCGTCGTCATTCTCGCCAGCTTTTGTCTGCTGCTGCTTCTGCTTGTCCGCCCCAACACCCCCCTTCTCCCCCTCGTCATCAGACAGCACCACAACCTCAGCCTCCCTCCCCGACGGCGGACCCGGAGCCGGGCCCGTGCCGCCGCCGCCGCCAGGCACGCCCTCGACGTTGCGCCACAGGCCGACGGCGCACTCGCCCGACCGCTCGAGCTCGTCTCTGATGGCCTCGCCGACGGCCACCATGAGCGCCAAGGCCGTGCCCTCGACCGCCACGACGGGGCCCCTCGTCTGCACCGCCGCCTCTCCCGGGCTCCCCGGGGCGGGCGGCCCCAGGGGCGGGCTGATGTTGAGCAGCGTGTCGACCTTGTTGGCGTACGGGATCGTCATGACCATGGCCTCGACCGTGCGCCGCTCCACCTCGCCCTGGCTGACGACGGACGACGGCCCGTGCTGCGTCGCGTAGTGCGGCGGCGTCGACTGTGACGACTCGCGCCGCTGCCGCTCCTCTGATTCGTCGACTCCGCCGCCGCCCCTGGTGGTGTGCGGCGGGGGCGGCGCGGCGTGCGGTAGCGGTAGCGGCGGCGCCAGAGGCACGTTGTGCGTCTTGAGCGGCGGCAGGCGCAGCGACTCGTGGCCGCCGACCGGCCTACCGAGCGCCCTGACCGCCGGCAGGCGCTGTTGCTGTTGCTGTTGTTGTTGCTGTTGTTGTTGCAGTTGCTGCTGCTGCGGCGGCAGCGGCGGCCCAACCAGCTGCGGGGACAGCACGTCGTCGCGCCGCGGCGCGCCCTGCGTCACTGCCCGGCGCCGCGGCGACATGCTGTCGGCTCTAGGGTGGCGGTAGCCCGTCGGCATGGCCGGCGACGGGCGGCCGGGGCTGGGGTAGCCGGTCCCGACGGACGCGACCCTCGGCTTGTGCAGCGAGCCGATGATAGGACCAGACGGCGGCGGCGGGCCCGAGATGGCCCCGTTCATGGCCTGCGGGTTCCGCTGCGGCTGCTGGTTCCCGCCGTACTGCCAGTCCCGCGGCGGCCCCTGCTGCTGTTGCTGCTGTTGCTGCTGGGGGTGCTGCGGCAGGTAGTGACGCGGGGTCGCCGGGTATGACAGCGGCGAGCCCGCATATATTCCGCCCCCGCTGCTGGGTTGGCGCGGCGGGCCGTAGTAGTGGTGCGGCGGCGGCGGCGGCGGCGGCGGCGGTGGCGGTGGATCGTCGTAGCCGTCGCTGTAGTGGCGCGGCCGCTTGGATGGCGACGCCATCTGGGCGTAGTCGTCGTCGTGGTAGTAGAGGTGGTCACCGCGGCCGCCGTAGTGCTCGGGCACCTCGCCCAGCGCGCGCTTGTGGAGGCTGGGAGGAAAGCGCCGCCGGGGGCTCATGTCCGCGTCCCGTCCGTAGCCGCGGTCCGGGGCGTCGTAGTCCCAGGCCTCACGGCGCAGCGGCGGGGGCGGGCCTCCGCGGATGCCGCTTTCCGGCATCCTGGACGAGGCCATCGCCGTGGGCATGGCGGGCGTGCGGGGCGTGCCTATTTGCGAATCTGTGGTGGTGGTGGTGGTGTTGCTAGGCAGTCCGGGCGTCGTGGGCATGTTGATGAACCTGCCGCCACACTTGGAGCAGTGGCTGCCGCCGCCGCTCTGGTCGCCGGGGGAGGAGTATTGGTCGCCCAGGGAGAGGTTCTTGAGCGCCGAGAGGCCCGCTTTGGTGGCGCGGCGCGGCGTGTACTTGTAGCCCGGGTACTGCTTCTCGTGGTTGCGCTTCTCCTCGGCGGCGTTGTGACGCCAGAAGTTCTTGACGTCCTCGGGCTCCTTCTGCCACTGGGACCCGATGATCTTGGAGATCTCCGGGTTCGGGAGGCCGGGGTTCCTGGCTGCGACCTGGGCCTGCTTGTTTTGGCGATATAGTATGAAGGCTGTGTGTGAGTGTTGCAGACGAGTGGGGGGAAAGAGATGAGGAGGACTCTTGTCAGTCAACTTGTTCAGGAATCAATGTAGGCTCAGGCAACTGGCCCAGCTGGTTTTTTGCGATTATGGAATGAGGAAGGACAAAGGAAGGGGACAAAGGCTGTTTGCTGCTTTCGACGAGATGGCACTCCCATCACAATGACAAAAACAACTGCCTCCCTTGGCTCTGCTGGCACAGGCGGCTCCTGTATGAGAGATAATGATCGATGACAGAGAAAAGCAGACTCACCGTTCCGAGGCCTCGGGATCTTGGGCGCTGGAGTGCAGAGGCAGATATGACTTCCGCTATCCGGGCTGTTGAGCGGCGCGCTCTCGTGGCGAGACTGAGCGCTCTCCGCTTCTATGGACGCTACTATGCTGCCGCCGCCAGCTTCACGCTCCCTGCTGTTGCCGTCGTCGTCGTCGTCGCTAGGGCGAGGGGCAGCGCTTGGAGCTCTGGCGCGAGGCGATGGCGAGCGTTGATGAGGTCTAGAGGAGCCACTCTCTGGCAAGGAGCGTCGGGGCCGCGACCGCTGCTGCTGCTGTTCTTGTTGCTGTTGCTGCTGTTGCTGCTGCTGCTGCTGCTGCTGCTGAGAGACCGCCCGGGCGTTGGTTCTGGCGTGCGAGGCTGCTTGGCTGGAGGACGACGCGGAAGACTGCAGTCTCGTCACGACTCCGGGGACGTTGCTCGACCTCGTCTGCATGGCGAGTTGGTTTCCATTTGTTGCTGGCAGCCTGTGATGTGGGAGGCGGTAGGAGACAGGGGTCAGGTCCACCATCTCGTCTTGTTCCTTTTCTGGCACCCCCCTTTTTTTCTTCGTCTGTTTTTGTTGTTCCTTACCAGCAGATTTTTCTTCTCAGCTAGGCGATGCAGACCAATGGTAACACCTGCTGGGGAGATGAGATGGGGCTGGGGACCAACTTGATGGGGAAGTGAAATAGTTCTATGCGGCTGTTTGTGGTGTCCGATATAGGGGTGCTGCGAAGCAAACGGAGAGATGAGAGTGCTATGGCGGGGATGGTGGAAAAATGAAGGGGCGGGGATGGGCAGCAAGCTGGCCGAGAGCTGAGCTGATGGGAACAAGCAGCCTGTAAGGGTGATGCCTGTCTGGCCGGCTCAGTTCTGTCACTTTTTTTTCTTTCTCTTTCGCGGGAACAACGCTTGGGCAATGTGATATCACCAAGTGACGACGCAGTCAGAGACCAGGGGAGGATGGTGACACGGCGAGGAAGGGTGAGACCGAGAGAGGTTTGGGCGTCGATGGGAAAAGAAAGGAGAAGGGAAAGAACAAGAGGATTGAGGACGGCGGCAGCGGCGGGGGGTGCTTAGACAACCCAACCAACGAAGGCGAAATCTTTTTTTTTTTTCCTCGTGCTTGCACGCACGCGTCCTGCTCCTAATCAGACGCTTGTTCCAAGTCAGCGTCCTTTGTTCTCGCAAACCATGCCCGCCTGAGTCCGGACTGGTGGCAATTCAGGTGCCAACTTGGTCCCACAGTAGGAGGCAGTCAGCTGGCTGGCTGGCTGCTGCTGCTGGAGGAGGAGGAGGAGGAGGAGAGCAAGGTACAATGACAGTCGTCCACAAGCCGGCGGCAGCCCGTGTGAATCCCGGGCTATGACGTCCAGGTCGACCCGATGTATATGTCGTTATGGCAAAGGCACCCTGACAGCTGACGAGGGAGTACCTCGGGGATACTTGTGATGAGAGCGTAGTTGAAATGACACATCGATTAGGTGACACTGCTTAACATGGGATGCCTTTCTTTCCTTTCTTTTTTTGTTGCTCCCCTCCTCGGTGAGGGACAACTGCCGGAAGAGTGAGAACGGTCAGGCCCAAATTCGACCCGCCGCCGTCTGCAGAAGTTGATGTTTCGGGAATGTGCTGCGAGCCAAAGTTGCTACCGGCCAAGAACCGTCCTGGGACGCTCCCTGTATCCTTTGTCCTCTGCTTCGGCGTTTGCAGAAGCATTCCGTTCGCGGCCGACGGACAGGTCAATGCTAGGGGGCCCACGAGAGGTGGAAAGGGGAAAAAAGGAGAGAGGAAGGACAAGAATCGAGTGGGATGTCTTGCAGTGCCGAGAGTCACGAAACACCGGGGCTCTTGTTCTTCAGCCATTATCTCCCGTTTTTGATCTTGTCGCATTCCCTTGTCTCTAGCAATCTAATCCCCTATTCGACAAAAAAAAACCCCCTCTAGCAGTTGGTATTTCTTTGCCAAAGGAACCACAAGGCGGCCGCCGCAGGCATCGGCAGCAAAATAACGGGCCTCCTACCTCCCTTTCCGGCTCGGCCACTGGAATGCGAAACCACCGGGCCGCCCGCCCTTTCTGGCCAGGAATGCCGTTGCGGCGCTTCTGCGTTCCCTCCCATTCTGGCACAAAAGACAATGGGGCACGAAAAAGTCGTCTGTCGCTCGCAGCGGGCTCTCTCTTTTGTATCCTACATGCCCAGGCTAGAATGCCATTTTCTCTTTCCGGAGGCCTCTGGCTTCTGGCTGGCACATTGGGAGCAGGCCTCGACAGACAGATAGGCTAGGTAGTCCCTGATCCTCCAACACCCACTGTCGTCAAGGAAAGCCCAATGCAACGCACGGTGAGCGGAAAGGGGCGAGCAAACAAACAACAAGCCGCTGAGCCGCACAGCGTATCCCTGCCTCTGCACCACCCGTCCCGTTGGCGGTCCCGTCTTCATCTCAGATGGCCTCAGTCTAGCCCAGGGATAACAGGCCAGCGCCCAGGCTTGATTTCAGCCTCCCCCGGTCGTCTGTTCGCGGTTACTCCCTTTTCTCCTGCCACCCTTTTTCTTGGCCCAGGTTGCTCCCCAACGACTCCCGAAACAAGCAAATATTCTGAACGACGCCCTGGTCGGAGATGCCAAACATTAGGTAAAATTGGCGAAATGCAGAGAATAATAATTAAAAAAAAAAAAACACAAGGTATCATCATTGCGATTCATGCCGTCCTTCCTTCGTGCCTCATGAGATGAAGCCATTGGCGTTCTCGCCGCTAGTCAAAAGCGCTGCGCTCCGCCTCGCGTCGAGGAACAGGTCCTCGCACTCGGCAATGTCCTTGACGTCAATCTCCTTGCGGCCGTTGATTTTGGCAAGAATGCTGTTTGCATTGTCGGATTAGCGCCTTTCTCAAACATGTCTCGGCCATTCTTTTCTCCTGGCTTCGCTGTTCCGTTCCCGCGCTTTGCCGCGTACGAGTCGGGGAGAGACTCCAAGTTCACGGCCGCCCAGGACAGGCAGTTGGTAGTAATCAAAGAACATACCTTGAAGGGGTCAGGAGCTGCAGGCAGTACCTGAGGCTGATGCGCACGCCATGCTCGGCAATCTTGTCGGCGGCCGCGTCAGTGAGAGCCACGCCCTCGGTGTTGGCGCGCAGGCGCACGATGCGCTTGATCTCCTCGGCGTCGTAAGGGGTCGTCGGGATTATGAGCAGGCGCGCGAGGAAGTCGGGTGGCACGCCGTGTGCCGCCACCTGGTCGTCGGTGCCGCGGATCTTGGTCATGCCCCGGTTCGAGGCCAGCACCACGATGGGGGAAATGGGCGACTCGAGGGCCCGGTTGAGATAGGTGAAGCACTCGAGATCGAGCATGTGTGCCTGGTTGCGCGGGTGTTAGTGTTGGGCGGCGCGAACCGAGCCCGCAAGCAGAAGAAAAGAAGAAGAAAAAAGCACAAACCTCGTCAATAAACAACACGCCCGGGACCAGCTCGGCCACACCCTGGTCAATGTATTTGCTGACGACCTTGTTGATCTCGCCCCGTAGCTTGTCCGTGATCTCGGTCATCTTGGGCTTCATCAGCTGGCCCATCATGGACATGATGTCCTGGCCGCCCTGGGGCCTGGCGTTGGCAACATCCAGGTCGTGCAGCGTGACGTCCTGCACAATCTCCTTCTTCTTGTGCACCTCACCCTTGGGGATGGGCACGTACTCCTCGGCCTCGAGGTCGAACTCGGTGGCGTAGGCGTCGGAGCGGCCGACGCGCTTGCAGGCGCCCGTGTTGGCCTCGATGTAGATGACGTCGCCGACTGTCACACGCTCCTTCTGGATGGCCTCGTATATGCTCGGGTCCAGGCGCAGCTTCTTCTGGCCCTTTGCGCTCTTGAGGCCGATGAGCAGGGTGCTGATGGTCTTGCCGTAGCCGCCGAGCGGGTTCTCGGCCTCCTCGGGCGTGAGCTCCGTCACCTCGCCCTCGTACACCTCCTTGGTCTCGCGCACCTTGAGCCCGATGGCCCGCCTGAAGTTCTCCATGAGCACCTCGGTCTTCTTGACCTCGGTCGAGTAGATCTCGCTGCCGACGAGCGGGCAGAAGGGGATCTTGGTGCCCAGCTCCTGGCTGACGGCCAGGGCGAGCGCCGTCTTGCCCGTGCCGGGGCCGCCCGCGAGAAGCACCCCCCTGCCGGCCATCCTGTGCGACTTGATCAAGTCGACCACGACGCCGCACGCCTCGCGCGCCGTGGCCTGGCCCACAAAGCCCGACGCCTGCTTCTCGGCGGTACCATCTGATCTCAGGCCCAGGCCCTTGATGTGCGTGTGCGCCGCCGTGCGGTTCTCGCGGTTGTTACCCTTGACCTCGCTGATCTGCACCATTTTGGCGGCGGGCGGCGGAGCTCGCCTGGGAGGGGGAAAAGGAAGCGGTCGGTGATCTCTGTAGGCGAAACCTGAATTGCTCGGGCGCAAGGCTTGGGTCGGGTGTGCTTCGTATGAAATCGGTACCCAATGCGAAGGCTCTGAGCGGTTGGTGTTTTCCAGTCTGGGAATTCACTTCAGGCGCGTCCGCTTGGAGCTCCTGCGGGTGTGCCACCAAAAAAAAGTTGGGGCCGCGCCGCCGCAATTAGGAAGCTCCCTGCAGCCAATGCGCCATCACGTGAGATATAGTAAGTGAGGAAACGAAACAGTGCCCAAACGGTATCCATCACGAACATTGAGATGAATGTATCAAATGAAATAAACCAATAAAAAGAAGTCGCCCTGCAGATAGGGACTTTATAGGTAAGAGTACATTCATACAATTCAGCCACCCTCTGCCCGCCTCACGAGGTTGAGAGTTGCGCTGTGGGGCAGGCTGATAACCTGGGTCTGGTCGTTTTTCCTTGTTCCCCTACGGCAAAGACCAACTAGCCCACCCTTAACCTTAACCTCATCTTCATACCTGCCCAGGTCATCTCGCCCTAGCCAACCGGCCGCTCCTGGTAGACTCGGATGCCACTCTGTGTTGTTCCCGCCAAGATCACCGGCCCCGGACGACATCAGCGGGGAGGCTGCAAATTAATACTGGATCACGGTCCAGCACTTAGTCCAATACGGCGACATACATTCACGGTCAAGTCATGTTTTATACCATATATGCACACCGTAGCTTATACCCTTCTCTGGTTCTCTTACCCACTCACCGAGCAGCTTTTCCTGTCCCATCCTCCTCGTCACCAGACTCCCTATCATCAGATTCCCCCTGATCCTGGAGCAGCCGGGCGTTCTCGCCATCCCCTCCAGCAAGCACAACCTCACCTCCAGCCCCCGCCTCCAAATCGGCGTCCCGCGCCGGCGCCTCCTCCTCCTCCCTCTTGGAGAAGGCGGCCCACAGGGCGCTCCCGATGATCAGCACGGAGCCCGCGAGCGTCGCGACGCCCATGTCGATGCCGAACACGAGCCTGTCGCTCACGGCGGCGAAGACCATGGCCGTGTACGTCATGGACATGGCCCGGTTCCGCGTGGCGGCCTGGCTGGCCGCGCTGCCGCCCTCGACGCCGCCCAGGGCGGCCGTGAGCAGGAACTGGGTCAGGAACCCGGCGAGGCAGATGACGAGCAGCAGCAGCCACTCCAACGCCCCGTGCGGCAGCTGGAACCGCAGCTCCGGCTGCGCAATGTCCAGGACGGGCGCGAACACGAGGGCGGCGAGGGCGACGATGATGCATGTCCAGGCGAAGTACTTTGGCGAGTGAAGACCTTCATGTCAGCTTTTCTTTTTTCTCTCGCTCGCTTTGTGACCATCCTGTCAGCAAGGGGAGGACGGGAAGCAACATACATAGGTCGTCACTAGCGGGTGTGCGCGCGTGCCTATCTTCCTGATGGCTGTGTAAGCCCCCGCGGTGCCCAGCACGCCGACCAGCGCGATTCCGATGGCCCCCAGCCGCTGGGCCGGCGTGACCCCATCCCCCATCCCGCCGGCCGCCCACTCCGGCGAACCACCCACGGGCACCTCCTCCTCCCCTCCTCCTCCCGACCCCAGCAGCGACGCCGGGCGGGCGATGACGACGACTCCGGCCAGCGCCACGAGCGACGCCACCTGCTCCGGGCGCGTGTAGGGCTCGCGGATGAGCAGGTGGCACACGTAGCCCGTCACGGACGGCACCAGGAAGGTGATGACGGTTGCCTCGGCCAGCGGCAGGTACATCATGGACTGCCACATGCCCCAGATGCCGAAGAAGCCGCAGGCGCCGCGCAGGAGCAGCAGGCCGCGCACGTCGCGCCGGCCCCACGGGAACTGCGACTGCCGCCGCCACGCCATGTAGGCGCTGCTGAAGGTCACGGTCACGGCCATGCGCGCCAGGAGCAGCTGCAGCGGGTGCATGGGCGGCCGCGACGGGTCGCCGCCGCCGCCGTGCTCAAGGAAGCGCGCGCACGTGTTCATGGTGACGCCGCAGACGGTGGCGCCCAACATGAGGATCGCGGCGCGGTGCTTGGTCCACGCCGAGAGCGTCCGGGCCCTGAGTGCGGACTGGCGTGGGGGTCGGGATGGCGTCGCGCCGTAGGACGGGCAGCCGTCTGTGCTGCTACTGCTGCGGCTGCTGCTGCTGTCGTCGTTTTCTCGACGGATGGACTCGGCTTTGGGCCGGGCAGTCTGTTTGGGGCTCATTTTGGACTTGTGCATGTCCCGAGAGACGGGTACTCAAGTTTATGCTCCCAACAGATCCCCGCGACGACGGAAACTCAAGTCAAGTAATCGGTCTCTTACTAGAGGGAGTTTGAATAAGGTAAGCTCGGTATCGAGCCAAGCCAGAGATCCATGTGATAACACAGATAACCCGGCGCGAAATCCTTTCATATGGAGTGTGACAGTGCGGGGGAGGGCGGAGGCGGCCACATCTAGTGTAGACCAGAATGTGATGGCCCTGCAGCTACTTGTGAACAGGAGGCAGGCCGGCCGACCAGGCACACACAAGCATGCGCTACTGGATTAGGCATTCCGGGTTGGAGGCAACATGTCAAGGGGTGCGGGAATGCGCCATGGATGGCACGGGCTCAGCCAATAAAGACCAGCCTTAGGTACCCCGAGCCGGAGGCTGCAGCCGGTGCAAGCGGGTGCGCCAGCCGCGGCTACGGCACTTTGTCGTCAATGTTTTCACGGATGAAGACGTGAGTGTGGGCATAGCCGACCCCGCTTCGTTCGGGGCAAGAATTTCCGGCCGATATCGCAAAGCCCAGGTGACGCACAGCGGACTGACAACCGCCTTTGTCTCGGCCCTGTTACTGCGCATCAAGTCCGAGAGTGGAGGTTGGGTCCTGCCGTGGCATGGAGGGCAGTATGGAGAAGAAGTCAAGGCCAGGGGGTTCAATCACTCACTGTTTTCTCGTGTTGATAGCCCGCCATAAAGGACTCGGGTGTAGTTGATTAGATACTCGTTAGGGGACTGGAAATACCCAAAAACAGCAAGCGGGCTGTATGAAACGCTACAAGACAAAAACCCCCAGAACGCCATGAAAAACCAACGCTGTCTAGCCGCCAGCTCCACTATAGTCATGTCGCCAAGGACCTCTTGATGCCGAAATTAGTGCTCCCCAAAGGCCAATAAACAGACAACCAGAAGAAGAAAGGTGATGCCGTACTGCAACCAGAAAACGTCGTTGCCCGAAGCCATCATCGCAACGCTCATCGCTTCTTTCCAGTCAGGTCCATGAGGGCCTCGAGGTCATCGTCCTGATCGCCTAGCTCCTCGTCCTCGGCCACGTCCTCGTGCTTCCTCTTCTTCCCCCTGTTGACGGCACTCCTCTCGCTGACGCTCCTCGCGCCGCCGCCGCTGCCAGCCTCGCTCTCCGCCTTGCCGTCGGCGGCCGAGGCGACGCCGGCGTCGGCGGCGAGCTGCTTGAGGCCGGTCGTATCCTTGAGCAGGGTTTCGTCGTTGAAGGCCTTGCGGGCCTCGGCGATGTGCTTCTTCAGCTCGAAGACCTCCTGGACGCGGCCGAGGTACTGGGGGTTGCGGCGGAACGAGAACTCAAAGTCCTCGTACTTGACCTTTTGGCGGCCCGAGTACTGCGCCGTGCGCGCGGCCTCGAACGACAGGCCCTGGATGAACTCGGTCGCGATCTCGTCCAGCACCTTCATGCTCTCGGGGAGCGGGTGGCGCACGTCGCCGCAGCCGTAGAGGAGCGATGACACTGGAAGGGAGAGCGTTTCTCGGGTAAGAAGCTGGGAGAGGTCTCTCGGAAAAGGAAGAGGGGTGAGGGCAGCTCACACTCGACGTTGCCAAAGTTCATCTTGCCGACATTCTTGCCGGCTCGTGCCCTGGGCTCCATCTTGGGCTATCGGTTGGCGGGGCTCGCATGGAATGGGTGCCGATGTGCTGCGTGAGCGCGCAGGTGTAGAATGCTCTTCGGTCGGCAGTCGCCCAAAGCCTCGGGTTGGCTAATCGAGCTGGGCGTGGTCGGACGGTCGGTGGTGTCGAGCACGATGGTTTGGTCTGCACGTAGACACGAGAAATATCTCTGTCTTCAATTGCGCCTACGTTTTCCAGCGAGAGTGGTGGTTTGCCGTGATTCATTACATGGTCCAAGTTTCATTCTCAATCGCAGCCAACGCGACGCCGCCGCCGCACAAGTTTCCTGCCGCGCCAAGGCTTCAGTAGCTTCGACCAGGATCCATCCGGCGGCGGGCGGGGACCCCCACAGCACCAACCGGCATAAGCTCCAGGGGTGGTGGGGGCGCTGGGGACCGCCGCTGGGGGGACCGCTGGGCCAGGATTGGCTTTCCAACAAATTGGAAAAGCTGTTCTTCCGATGACAGCATGTCCAATCAATCCACCTCACTCCTAACGAGCACCACCAGCCTTGCGACAACACCGCCCAAGACACCGTCTCCAAGAAACCGCAGAGTCACCCAGGCCACATCCGCTTGCCTTCATCCTCGCGCTCGATAAATAGCGCCACATCAGGCCCACGCGCCGACCTCTACGGAAACAAACAGGCCCCCGTCCCGGTCCCTCGTCTCCTGATCGCGTCCCGAGCTGCCAAGATGGTATGTGGGCGCTCTCTGTCGACCGTTGCTTTCACTTTGCCCCAGCGCCGGCAAGCACGACGACGCCCGTTGCTTAACCTCAACCCAGTGCTAACCAAACGCAACCCGACGACAGGCCGCCCTGTTTAACTTCCAGTCGCTGCTCCTTGTCATCCTCCTCCTGATCTGCACGAGCACATACGTCCACGCCATATTCCCGGCCCTGCTGGACAACAGGAAAGATGGGTACGTCTGAGGATTCACCTTGCCGAGAATCCACAGCCGAGGGGGAGGTTTGGACCGCTGATCCAGAACAAGGGGGCTGACATCACATGCGACAGTTTCATGGGCATATTCTGGAAGTCTGCAAGAGTGGGCGAGCGGCTGAGTCCGTACATCAGCATCTGTTGCGTCGCCATGGCGGTAAGCCCCCAAACACACATCATTTGTCTCGGTCCCCGTTGCGGATGCTTTGGGCTGCGGTCGACTGACTTGGGCTTGGGAGCAGGTTTCCGTCTTCATTGGCAACTGAGTGGCGTTGTCGTCCGAGAACACGGCCAGATATCGTGTCTTTGGCTTTTTTTTTTTACTCCCATGTTAGCACTCCCGCCTCGCCACAGTACGCGGGGTTTGGCTTTGGTTATTCTGGGTGGCATCGGCGTTGTGATTGCTTTTGCAGGGGGGCTTTCCGTCTCGCGTTTTCCTCGTAGTCCTTATTCCTTTGCTTCTTGCTTTGATGCTACGCTGGAGACTTCCTGAGCCCGCTTGTCGATACCCGGCTCGGGCTCGGCGATTGGGTCGTCCAGCCCTGTCACCTCAGTCGAACGGCCAAATGGTTGAGTCCCCCGAGTCGCGTTTGCGTCTGTCTTTTCGCTGTTGTTGGATGTCACGTCATCGTCTCGTCTGTGGATGACTCGCTCGTCCCTCGTCGGGTCGGTCTTCCACGCCGCAGGGCTTCGGCGACTGGCCACGGCTTCGAGTCGGTTCCGTGACCCCCGTGGGCGCTCATGAGACGACGACTTGTCGGCCAGTCGTTACGCTGCAAAGTTGAGGCGGCCGGCAGGCGGGAGGGGACGCAAGGACCATGTCCCTCCTCGTATGTCGGCAAGCGGTCAACGTGCCGTCGCATCTATGGCAGGCGGGCTCCAGGACTCGCATATACTATCCGCACAGACGCGAGCCAAGTTCCCATCCCGGGGCGAGAGAGAGAGAGAGAGAGAGAGAACGAACCCTGGGGCATCTACCGGCCGCTTCTGGAAAAAACCTGACATGTGTTCCTCCCGCCTCGAACATGCGACGCTTTATGGTTTGCTATGACATAGTGCCGACGAACATCCTGTGGAGCTTCTCTGCCGCTTGGTTCGAACGGACATCCATGAGTCACCTCGCCGATTTGTTCCCATGTCCAGTCATTCCGGCATCACACGCGCAAGGCGAAAGACGCGACACCTCACCGCGCCGCCCCCGCCTTGACGCCACGACGCCCGTCGCCCCACGGTACACCGAGGCAAAGACGGGGCGGCGTTGGGCTCGTTGTGAACCAGAGGCTATCGTTATGCTGGGCTCTTGCAGCGTCACACGTTGTGAGAGTTGAGATTTTGGTTTGTTTGTTTGTTTTTCAGGGGGGTGTGACTTATTTGCTGGAGCCTCCCCGAATCGTTCACCAACCAGCACTCGACCCGTGGCGCGCAGGAGAAAAAAACACCAAGCCACCACGACAGGGCGAACACGACACGCATACACACCCCATCCCCCTCACCAAAAGACTTCACCTTGCTTACCGGATCGTGGCTGGCTCCTGCCGAGTGAGACCAGCGCTTGGCAGAAAAGGAAAAAGAAAAAGAAAAAAGAGACATGCAGGCAAAGAAAAAAGAAACACGCAGTAGCTGGGCAGCAACCTGCCGCGGCGCCCAGCACGCCCCGCGGAGGAAGTTGACCGACAATACCTCGGCAGGATGGGAGTCACTCCCGGTATCGGGCAGCAAAGAAAATATTGTCTCCGTGTGGCTGTGAGACAAAGGTCCCGCCGCCGCTCCCTCCTCCCGATCCGATCACATTGGAAAAGGAATAGCTGGAGAGATCATGCAGCTCCATCCAGGGCTAGGGTATGTATGGGGATGAGAGAGAGAGAGAGAGAGAGCTCTAGTAGCTAGTTGTGCTACGAAAGCGGTGGGCTTGTCTGGGCTTAGTGGGCGTGTAGGTGTGGTCGAGGGCAGGTGTGCGTGTATAGGAGACGGCAACGTGTGCTTCACTGTGCAACAAGACAAAAAAAATAAATGCTTTGATAACATCATTCTATTTTCACCTGTACTCCCATTCCAGTCCACCCCCCGCATCTGCCCGTGTCTGCGGGCAGAACTCTCCTGCTGTCCTTGCCCCCCGACATGATTCCAACGCCTCCGTGTACCAATCACACCCGGGCCCCCTCCTCCCCGGGGTACGTCCCTCGGAAGGCGGGAGGCCAGGTACGAGGGGTGAAGGGAGGGGGGAGGGCTGCCGTCGGCTGGCTCAGCCGGCCTGTCTCCTGACCTCGGGATGACCGAGGAGGGGTCTTGCCGGTTGAGATTCGCCCGTGGCGCGCATCACCTTCCCACGGCCCAGGGGGCGGGACTGCCGTCAGCATGGGCACCCTTCAGACAGCATCCCTCCCTCGTCCTTGTCTCCCAGCCCGCGAGGGGACGGGTAGGCGGGAGACGGATTGCGTGTGGACCAGCCATGGCGGGTTTGTCCGTCACATGGGAGGGAGGTTTTGCCTCTTGTTTCCTGTTCGTGTCCGGCGCAAAGCGGCGGCTACCAGCCGGTGGGTGGGCGTGCGTGTAGGTCCGCCTGGCCTGGCAGGGTATGGCCGGTTAGCTCGGCTTGTTTGCCCGTCCAGACGGGTAGGGCGGGCAGCCAGGGCATTGTGTGTATACGGGGGTCACAATCAAGGACAATGGGATGACAGAGGCGCGGGCGTCGCTTGTTTTCTTCTTCTTTCCGCTTTAATCTATCCTCTTCCCGCGCCACTCCCGTGCCTCTTCAAGACAGGAGGAGGGTGAGATGCCCGATGTCGGTCATCAAACCCCCCCAGCCGGGCTGACAAAGAGTAGAGATGCGCAGGTAAGCGGGAGGGAAAGAGAGAGAGAGTACGAATCGGATAGCTGCCCGTCCTCGGAGCATGGCGCCGATCACTGGGCCCAGAGCATTGAGGGGATGAGAGAGAAAGAGAAAGGGCCGAGCAGCAGGCGGCTTGCCGGTGCAGGGCGACGAAAAGGGCGAGTTATATCGGGATCGTGTCCCCCTTGGAGGCGGGATACTAAAGAAAGATAGGAGGCTGTGCATCGGGGGCAGTACGTATGCAAGTACGCGTCTTTGCCCGTAGGACGATGATGCCAATATAGAGGAAGGCCGCTTGGCTCACGCGGCAGTGGAACGTCAAACAAATCGTAGCACAAAAGATGCCGAGAGACCACACCTTTTTTTTTTTTTTGCAACCCCTTTACAGGTCTTTGGGAGAATGGATCTCGGATACTAGCTTCCCCCATGGCCCTTTGCATGTTGGCTGTGAGGGTTGCTTGCCTGCTTGGCACACTCTCACCGGGGCAGATCCCAGCCCGTTCGAATATGTCAAACCACCAGCGGCCGCAAGTTAGCAACCCGATAACAGGTCATCCCATCGAGAAATTGCCATGCATACTTTTCTTTCCGTCACGTTATCACACTGCTCCCGTACTATCGACGGGATGTTGGTCGAGACAATGTGTGAAATAGAGTGGAAGTGGCCAGCACAGCCTCGGGGCGAGCAAGGGTGAGGTGCATATACTGTAACTGCCCAGCGGTACGGTGCGCCTCGGAATTGGGAGATTATAGAGTGTCCTTGCGTTCATACCCGTGCCGCAATAAATCCCTCTCCGACAAGCTGCATGAGGGGAAGCACCGCGGTCCTTTGCTTGGGTAAGGAGTACTAGACACGGAGTGACAGCCCATGAATCCACAACCGAGCAAGATCTTTAGTCACGAGACGTGCTCGACAAGAGGACAGCAAAGAGACGAAGACGATGGATAGAGTGGGAATCCCCACATCGGGGCAAGCTTTCACGAATATCGCATCGCCAGTAGGACGTGACACACAACAGCAATCGTCACCAGGCCAGCCAGCCAAAACTCTCCTTGCCCTTTGCCTGCCCGATCCACGGATCCGGGTGGCAAGTGAAGAAGAGGGGAAAAGGAACGGAAGACGTGAAACCAAAAAGTCGGGTCGATCGGGAAGACTTGGCATCGGCCGACGAGGGAGGGGGGAGCACCAATTCCAGATTCCCTGATCCCTGGCGCGGGCCTGGGCGAGGCTACCTGGGCTGGGCAACAGGGAAAGACGGGGCCATTCGACAGTATGAACAGCCTTGTGCGGGACGGACCTGCCGTCATTGGACCTCGTACAACCCGATGCGGGCGTTGAAACCAGCTGCGGAAGGTGGAGAAGGTTAAAAGAAAAATTGATATTTAAAAAAAAAATGAGTAAATATCGAAACCACCCATTCCAAAAACGGAGAGGTTCAGGGCAGAAGGGCGAAAGAGCGGATGGGGGAAAATGATGCAGGGAAACTCTCAAGTTGGGCCTTTTTTTTCAGACGAACGCTTCGCAAACGGCCGAGGCTTCAGGGATGAACCCCCTTCCACCCCTCCCTCTGTGACCAGACGACACCCGCACGTACCGGACTGACTCGCGCTGTGCTTGATGGATGGATGGGCTTCCAGAGCCGAATCGCATGGCTCCTCTGTCCCAATCGGCCGTCTCGACGTGGAGGGAGGAGAAGAAACTAGCTTAGCTGGCGACAAGGGCAGAGAGCCACGTCCGTGCCCTCTCAGCCACCAAACCATACCCAGCTAGCCCTCCCCCCCGCTAGCCGTATCATGGCGGTATCAAGCAGAAGCGAAGCGATATATCGATGCTGTGGCACTGACCTCTTTTTCTTGGCGTGGAGGGCGAGAAGTGGGAGAAGGAGGGAAGGAGGAAAACTAGGTGGGATGTCGGAGACGAGAGAGGGAAAAAAAAGGATTCCGACATGGTCACGCAAGGCAGGGCGCATTCACGAAACGGGGGACGTACACGATTAGACGGGACGGGCACCGACAGGCTGTCTGCTTGCCGTCTTGGGCGGGAAGGACTCGGTCAAGCGGCCAAAAAAAAAAAAAAGTTGTCCTTGCACCCACCCCGGCGCCGGCGCCGAGGAGCGGCTAGTTTGCCCCATTCGCATGGACCGGTCTGCCGGCTCCCTACGCGGCAGATGCAGTCGCTCTACCCCCTCCGACAGGCTGGGGTTACGGGTTCCGACCTCTGATATTAGTTCTCTTTTTTCCTTTCAGTCAGTTGCCGTCCGCACAGGGAGCGAGGTCTTGCAGCGGGGAGAAGAGCGAAAGCAATGTTCACGTTTTGTTGATCTGACGCACATACGTCCTGCCTGCCGGGCTCGCTCACACGTACTGCTCGAGTTTGCTCTTCTCTCTCTCGTGAGAGAGAGCGGCATGAGCGACGGCCACGTGGGAATATGTTTGATCACGCAATAATGGCATGCAGTGGATATCGGCCGAAACGGAGACAAACAGGCAAGAATATTCCGTTGCGTTCTTTTTTTTTTGGTCGGATATTCTTGTCGAACCAACCCCTGGAACGGGATGGCGGCGGAAACATGTACCCCCTCCCCCAAAGAGAAGCTAGGTGGTTACATGTGCTTTTACTAGACCGTGCCCTCTTATTTTGGGTTCAACAAAGACCACGAGTTCCCGAGGTGCATCGACCCAATGCCCTGCCATGCCATGCTACTGTGTATTCCCCCTCCTCTGTGCCACTGACAGGGTGATCGGACGGAGAAACCATAACGAGGGACAACGCCGACGTGGCTCGTGGCGCCCACACTGGGTGACTTGGCCTCACGCCCTCCCTCATGCGCTGCTGACAAGGTTCGACACGGTGCATCAAGTAGTGGTTATGCAGAGATAGCCAAAGCACGGGGGAGGAAGGGAGGGAGAGAAACAGGGAGGGAGCAGAGAGATCGGATTCTGCTGGTGGCACGACATGCCGCCTCCCGCAAAAGCACAGGGCCACACGGACCCCCGTTCCGCCATCGCCGGGTCTTTCACAATCACGCAGATGTGATGATTGGAATGTAATAACCGGGAGCGTGGTACACACCAGCACGCTAGCGGCCGCGGTGGGGGAGAGAGGGGGAGTTGTCAAGACCGCGCGCGCGGGCAAGGGGCCGCTAGGGCGGAGGCGCGAGAGTTACATTGGCATTCTCACTTGGAGGCCCTGTCCTGTCTCGCGGGGATGACCAGCATCCGTGCCCAAGAGCCGTGGGCGGGGGTTGGACGGGTTTGTGACGGGCCCATCGCGGGAAGATAAGGATAAGGAATGAATAAGACAAGCCAAGTTAACGTGTTCCTCGAGATGTGAGGCTGAGGGGGGAAGGGAGGGTGGAAGGGAGGGTGGAAGGGAGGGTGGGTGGTAGGCCAAGAATGCAGGAGATTTGATGGAAGCTGACCACCTGACGTGGAGGCGAGCAAGAAAAAAAAAACCAGACCGCTGGCACTATTGCGGAGCGACTTATTTGACCGCGATGCACGCGATGGTGTCTTACTAGGGCCATCATGGGCCATGGCAAGCCATCTTAGCGCACACTTTAGAGAGAAGAAGGAGATGCCGATGCAGCCACAGTGAGGCGAACACCCGCAAATCGGCAAACAGAGCGGCGGGTGAATAATCATGTTTGCCTTGGCCGACGACGGATCATGCACGAGCATGTTCAAAGTAGGATGGTCAATATGAAAAAGGCAAACGTCACAAGTCGACGCCGGACCAATCAATAGTAAAGGCAATCGGAGACATGAGTCGGAGAAATCCGCATTTCCATGGATGTCATCGTTGTCCGAATTCGGGGCCTCCGTCTTTTTCTGTGTTATATCCTCCTCGACGGGATGCCGTCAGCGCAAGATGCACAATGTATAAATACCTCCCGACGACCTGCATCGCATTACAAAAAAAAAACCTCGCACGGGGTGGCGGGACCTGCTGATTTGCTGGGACAGATGACGAGATGCAGCTAGCACAGCCTCTACCAAAAGGACGGCGCTAGGGGCGACGGGCATGTCCGGGAAAAAGGCCTGGTGTGGGGAGGGCTCAATATAAGGAAATAACAGAGAGGGTGCGCGACTTTGGTTCCGTTGCGAGCTAAGATGTGGTTCGGGGCTGTCGGAGAGAATAAGAAGAAGAGTGGCTCAATTAAATCGAGATCCCCGGGGCCGATGCGTCGCTTCCATCAAAATGTCAGAAAAGAAGATGCAGAGAACAATCAGGCACTTTTCTACCCGCCTATCAGGTGCCAGCTAATCACGGACAGGCACAAAAACAGCAAACACACCCCTAAAAAAAAACAGGATGCGATCCCCACCCAGCACTTTAAAAAGTATACCAGGATCAGAGCGAGGCACATGGCACCGCCCGCCGTTTTCAGGGGAAAAAATAGTTGTGTGGTTCCAGCCCCAGGGTCCAGGGCAGGGAGTGGGCTCTGGGAAGGGGAACTAGGGCGAAAGCGGACTAGTCCGTCCGCGGGCCATTCGATTTGGTTCCTAAACCCGTCGTCCTCTCTTGCTTGGTTCTCAGCTCGAGAGTTCCGCTTGCTGCTTGCTGACGGGAGCGGGGATAAAAGGCGGCGGCGGGGGCGGCGGCAAACAACAATGCAAGAGGAAGTGAGGATGGGGCAAACAACCGCAAGACACAAAAACAACAACACGAGAGCGAGCCGAGGGGAAATGGGCTCGGGAACATGCGGCGGTGTGGTCATGTAACTTGCAGCGGCGCTATTATGCATTGCGTGGCTGCCACATATTTACGGGATATGCTATACCAGGTATGCTCGCAGAAAAGAAATAAAAAAGCGCCAGTATCGTGTTGGTGTGTGGGCTCTGCCTCGTAACTCGTAATGCAATGCACCCGCCACCATGCCCCGTCCCTTCTCACGCGCATTCTCGCAGGTTTAGGTTTTTTTTTTTGAACGTCTGTCCCTTTCGTTTATTTTATTTTCGCCAAGCTACATTGTGGATGGCCAATGTACCAAGCGAGTGAGGTGAGAGGAACCCGCACGTCTCAGCGAGAGCAAGGGTCATGAAGGAGGCGCAACAACACCACGCCTCCCAACCATCACGGCGGAGTTTGCGTCAATGTTTGCAGTCGACATGCAAGCAACTCCGGAATGGATGGTAACAGACCCAGGTTGCGATCTTCCCTCTAGGCGGGCGCATAAGAGGATGGAAGGGAAAAGGACGGCAAAACGACACCAAACGCATGAGCAACAAGAATAGGGAAAGAAAGTCGCAGAGACCCCGTCGTCCACCATATCCGCAGTATTTCCCTGTCGTGGCGCCCACGCCAAGTCGCGGATCGGCGCATTGATGCCAGCCATGACTCTCAAGGGGCCCTGGAGCCAGCCGCGAACGCTAGCAAGCCAGCACAACTTCCAGCGCCGTTCAGCAGGTTGGCACGGTCTGGTCAAAAAAACGGAACACTTTTCAATTGGTGGTGGTATGCACTGGGGCAAAAATTGAAAAGTGTTCCGTTTTTTTTTGTTTTTTTTTGATCCGGCCGTGGTTGGTCCCCATCTCGGCAGGGCGCCACCAGACCGTACCACCACCCCCTTGATTACGCCCTTGGCTGCGCGACCATCCCTAAGGGGAGCGCAACCAAGGAGCCGGGAGCCCAGTGGGCCCTGAACCCATTTTGGCTTTCGGTCTAGTGGTGATGATGGTGGATGGTGGTGGTGCAGTGCTAAGATCACCGCCGTATTTAAAACCTCGCATGGAAATATGGCCGAGACCAATTCCTGGGCGGCGGGATGGAGGCCTAGCCCAAATCGCCTACTGCCTGCCATATTGTTTTTGCGTTCGAGACCTTATGTTGGTTTGTTTGCCATCTTGTTGTCCTTTCTTGGAACCTGCACGCAGCGGCGACAAGAAAACAAGAAAATAAGAAAACAGGGAATCAGTCCGTCCGATATATCGTATCGCAGTTCCTCCCTGTGTATGCATATCGCACAAACCAAACCTATCGGGGGAGGAGTCGTGTGTGACCATCGGGTGTGGGGTGGTGTCGTGTTTGCCCCCTACCTTGCTGCTCGCCTCGCCTCGGGGCTCGACTCTTGTCTTGTCCGTGTGTTGATGGCTTCAGAAGCGACCGCTGCACACACACCAAGGCAGAAACTCCACTGTAACCGACATGGACGATCTCAACTTTTTTTTGTCTTGTCCGCGTGATGCCCCACTGGAACGTGGAGACGCCGGCGCACACCTTGTTTTTCACTCTCAAGCACACCCGTTCATCGCTGGCTGTCGACGGCTCGCCGAAAGCGTGTCGCTAGAATAGACCCTGGCGTTATCGGCACCGACCTAATTGGAGTAGACTTTGCTCCGCCGAGCTGGATTTTTGCTGCCGTCGTCGGTTCGTTGGGGGGCTGATCCTTGGGGAAGTGCATGTTGGTGTTGGTGGCCGCCTTGATGTTATTTTTGCATTTTCTCTTTTTTTTTCTTCCTCCCACGCCTTGCTTTTCCCCTCTTCCGCCTCCTTCGCCGCTCGGCCGCCGCCTCGTCCCCGACTGCGACCGACGAAGCCACCGCAGCTAGGGTTCAGGGGCAGGGAATGCGAGACCGGGGCCCAGAGTGGTGCATCGTATGGATCAATTATAGTCAAATTCCAAGCGCGAGGCTGCCCTGGGGCCGGCGCATGTGGTGGTGGTCCCAGAATCCAGGAGATCCGCTCTGGCTGCCACGACAGGTGACCTCCAGCCCAGGTCAGGGCCGCTTCCGCCAACTGCTAGCATGGCCCTTTTGTCTGAAATTTCTCCGCGACGCCGTGTCTCTGCGCTGCCCGTTCTTGTCCTTCGCAATGTCAGGACCAAGTCGATTGGCTGCTCGGCTGGCCTTCCGGGGTGGGATGCCTGCCCGCTAATTGTTCGGTTCGGAGATGCGATGTGGCTTTCATCCCCCCCTGTCGGTCAAGGACCTCCCGCACAGTCGGTGCTTCCCTTTTAGGCGGGTTTTGCGTGATGTTTGGCACTGCTTTCGTGGTGGAGCCCAGGGTGAGGAGGGCCAGCATTCCAGGGCATCTCCTGGCAAGCCGCCTTCTGTAACTCTCTTCTCACACGATGCTGCACACGACTGGAGGCGCTTGACTCCTCCTCCCTCGCGCTCGCTGTATTTTTCTTTTCGCTACTGCAACGCCAAACCACGAATGCAACCCGCCTTTTACATGGTGGCTACGGAGAGAACGCCCGCCGCGCTTCGCTGCACTGCTGTACTGACAAATTCCCCTTTTGGGACTCGCTTTGCCGACGGATGAAGGATAAATCTCACGACGGCCGCCCCGGCGCGGCAAAGGCGAGGCTGTGGCGCGCGAGTTTGGGGCCTGTCTCGCCGAGGCGTCTGAGCAAGGCCCGAGGCGAGAAACGGGTTGAAAGTTTCAAGTCGACGGCGCGGTTGCTCGACCTGCTCGGTGCCATGGCGGCAGTGGACGATCCGAGGTGGCCAGCCGCGCGCCTCGTCTCCACTCTGCTGGGATCCGGTGTAGGTAGCCTCACTCTCATTTTGAAGCCTCCTCGTGTGGCTCTAGACGGACTACACAGTAAAGCCTCGGCGGGCCTGCCCACAGCACTCGATAGTCGCAGTCTTGTTGGTGCAAGCGGGTAGCTGACGGTGGACGCGGGTGCGGTGCAGGGGTCAAGGGCGAGGGAGGCCAGCTCGCCAGTCTGTGTGGCACGCCGGCCGTCATGAAAAGGAAAACAGACTTCCAACCCGCTGCCACGGGCTGACAGGTGTGCTGTGGAGAATTGGGGGAGGGGGCCTGGCGCTCGAGTTATTGTGTCCAAGCTCCCAGTGGTCCCAAAGTGTAGGCGCGTGGCTTGACTAGGTGCGGTGCACTTTCCGAGACTGTGCTTGGGTGTGAGTGGGTGGGGGGTGTGTGCAAACAGGATGTGGGATCCATCAATCTTGCGCCGTCATCTTCGCTCCTGGCGGCAATATCACACACTCACACACTGTCCGGGCCAGCGAGCGAGGGAGCGGCTCCATCTTCTGGCCGCCCCTGTCCCGGTCTCATCTTTACTTACTCTCTCGCTCTACTCCGCACTCTTTCCCACCTACTCTCCCCGCTCATTTCGGCTTTCTAGTGATCGTGTCTTCGCCTCCTTTTGTTTTTCTGAATTTTTGCATTTTGCATTTTTTTTCTGATGTTCTAGAACACAACGTAAGCCACCTGCGTCTTGTGCCTCGTCTGCATCGCTGGGGGAACCCGCACACTCCTTCATACCCCTCGGCCCTCACCCGCTCACACGCTGGTTCTGGTGCTCCTCCCACCCCCAACAGAGCCCACGCTCTCGACGCTTCACTCTCTCCCTTCTCTCCACTACCGAGAGACAGACTGATCCGCCCCTGGCGCTAGCGACCAATTCGTCCGCCTGCTCGCCACCTGCAGTCTCCCGCGCTGCTTCTCTCTCCTTGCTGCTAGCCCCTCGGCGTGCACCACGAGAGAACGAGAAAGTAAAAAAAGTAAAATAAAAAAATAGCCCGCAGATGCTGCGAGCATAATACCCACAATCCGGCTTCTCCTGTTCGCGCTGGCTGCTGGCTGCGCACACCCCCCTCCCCTCCCCTCCCCTCCCCTCCCAGTCCCGCTCCTGCTGTCTGGGTTGGTTGTAATATCTCTGTGCGTCGCTGCATCGACAAGGTGCTTGCTGCATCCAGAACCACACAACAATAACAGAGCCGACCGCCTTACGAATACATACCAGACCCAGCCAGGGTCGTCTGTCCGGGCTGCTCCCTGCCCCCCCCCAGTCCCTTCATTCTTCTTCCCCTTTCGCCATTAAACCCTGCCTTTAAACCTGACAACATATTTTTTCTCTCTCTTATTCTGCTCCCGTCCCTTTCCCTGCCCTTCCCCCCTAATTCTTGTTTCCGGTCTTTCCTCGTCTTTGTTCTCTCCCTTCACTCTCCGTCTGCATTCCAAAGCGGCAAGGACTACCGGGCAACTCTTCAGAGCAGGTGGCTTTTGTTTTATTGCTGCGTCTTCTTCTCGGCGTTCCTTCACCAACATCGCTTGTGCAGTTTTGCGTATTTGAGGAGCATCGGTACACCACCGCTCTTCTCCCGCTCGTACACCTTTTGCAACCCGAGCAGCTCCTCGCCGCCGATCGAACCGATCCTGAACCCGACCGACCGACCGATCGACTGCTGGTGGGCAAAGAGGGGGCCGACCTGACGGGAACGGACCTCTGTGGCGTTCCGTGGCCTGGGAGATATCTCAAGGACGGACCTGACAAACGCGGCAGCCTGCGTGATTTGCTTTCCTCCCTCTTTGACAGAAGAGAAGGTACGTGATATTGCTATCCTGCCACCGGGCCATGCACAGACGCCCACACAACAACTCAAGCACGACCCCCGCCCCCTCGCAACTGCACGCTGCATGAACCCATTGGACTGCTCTGTCGCTGGCGCACCCAAGCCCTGCACTGTGACCTTGCTGCAAGCCCTTCTGCTGCGGCTTTCCGTGCAAACCTGAGTGCTCATGGGATCCCTCTGCATTATTGCCTCGCGTACTACTCGACCGCTTGCGCATAGTGCTTGCTCCCTCGCTTCTGCCCTCTTTCATCTGCCGCCCGCCGCCGTATGCACCCGTTGCTGATAATTCCTTCCGTATCCAGCGAGCTCCGCTCCTGCCATTGCTTGTCTCACACCTCTGGGGGTGCTCTTTCTCCTCCACCCAATCCCGCAACTCATAATTGGCCGCCCTCCGCAACCCTCGTCCCGTTTCCTCTGGCCTGGTTCCTAAAAGGTCGGCAAGGACTCGCGAACACCAGACACAAACGTAACCTCGAACCTGATCAGCACACTTTTCCTTTTTTGGAACCTCGACTCATCCGCCTCTCTTCTGCCCTTCCATATCTTTCCTCCTCCTACACCTACTTAATCCACCTTACCAGCTGCGCTGGAGGGCAACAGAGATCTACTCGAAAGGATCAAGGACCGATCGCCGAGGACACATTCGAACACACGTCAAAATGAGCGAAAAGGGAAATGGAGGTATTGACGGCGGCTGCGTTGGACACACGAGGGCAAAGTCGGACGGTGAGGCCGTGCCAACAACGGAGCCGACCGTGGACACCAGGCCAACAGCCGCCCAGACGCCGAGCGAGCCTCAGTCGGAGTTTGCCCAGAGCAGCCAGCAGAAGCTGCGATATGAGGACAGATCGGTGGCGAGGCAGCAGGACCTCGGCACGCCCGCGACACTACCAGCACCACTGTCGCGCAACCCGTCCGGCAGGTCCACGAGCGCAGAGTCAAATGACAGGCGACACCATCGCAGCATGAGGGTATACGAGCCGCCTGTCACCAAGGCCACGCTGAGCGAGCTGGACGTGAACAAGATCATCCACAACCCCAAGTTGAGGCACGACATCAACTTCGACCCCGACCTGCACTTCCGGCCTAACCTAGACGGCGAGAAGGGACGGAGGAAACAGCAGAGGGCAACCGAATTCTGGGAGTGCCTCAGCCAGCAGCTGACGCTCTTCGTGACGGACCGCGAGACGTTTGTCCAGCGCTACGGCGAGGACTCGGACTGGTGCTTGCCCCGGCTTTTGAAGGCGGTCAAAGAGATTATCCAGACGCTGGTGCCGGCACGGGACCGCGACTTCCTGGACGAGGGTCTGAACGTGGAGCTGCTGATCCAGCAGTTCAACAGGGGAATTGCGGACCTGGAGAAGCTGGCCTCGTGGCTCTCATCAGTCCTGAAGTTACACTGCGCTCCTATGAGGGACGAGTGGGTTGACGAGATGTATAGGGAGCTCAGCAACGGCAACCGCAACAACGACATCAGTCTGTTGGTCCAGGGCATGCGCAGTCTGCTTAGCGTGCTTGAGGCCATGAAGCTCGACGTGGCCAACCACCAGATACGCTGCCTGCGACCCGTCCTGATCGAGGACACGGCCCACTTCCAGCAGCGCTTCTTCCACAAGAAGCTGCAGGCCCGTAGTAAGGTGGACACGGCCCGCGCCCGCCTCTGGTACCGCGACGCCGACCGCCAGTACTCGGCCGTTGACTCGCCGTCTGATATTCAGCAGGGGCTGGGCGATATGGCCGGATTCTTCTACGGCATCTCACGCCTGATCCTGCCGTCGGCGGCTCAGGACCACTTGGATGGCACCTACCGCTTCCCGGGCACATTCCTGTTTGACCACGACCGACTGGAGAAGCTCAGCTCGGACGCTGTCGACGCCATCTGCCTGGACATGTGCATGAAGCTGTACGACGATCTCGAGCGCGTCTCGAGGATCGCGCAGGCGATGCCGACACCCTTTGGCAGCAGCCTCCTGCCGCCGACCTCGGTGCCGTCTTATGTGCTCGACGACGACTGCTCGTCCCGCTCCCGCTCGAACCGGTCGTCGATCAACTTTGACTTCAACACATCACCCTCCAGGCCCTCGAGTCTGGTCGGCTCGGCCGCGTCTTCGCCACGGACATCGGCCTGCATATTCACTCCCGCACCGTCCAACCCGGCGCTCGACTCGGCCGACACACGGGCAAAGTCAAAGAAGGTTTACGCGTCCCTTGTCGACCTCGTCCAGACGGCCGCGCCGGCATCGAGCCCGGCGCACAGGTGGAGGGGGCTGGTGCCCGACGTTGCGCTGCAAATCCTGCGGTCGACCGAGGCGCCGCTCGATATGCTGCCGACCGTCGAGCGCAAGCTCGACTCGTGGCTGTCCAACTGCCAGAGCGAGCAGTTCCAGGAGGCCAAGCAGGCGTTCCACTCCAAGCTATTTGCCGAGCTGGCCGGCCGCGTCCGCGAGTACAAGAACCTCTCGGGTCTCGGCCTCTTCTCGGCCGCGACGGGGAGCAGGCTGCACAGCGGGCCGGGCGGCATCGTGGCCACGTCGTCGTCGTCGTCGTCTAGGGAAGGGTCCAGCGTCGCCCATCCGCCGTTCCTGCAGCTCGATAGGGACGCCAGCGGCAGGAATACCGCCGCCCGCGAGGAGCACAGCGTCGAGAACATGGCGACGCGCCTTGCCCACCTGGGCATCCTGCACTGGAGGGTGTGGGCCGACATTACCTACCGCACGCCCGAGCCGGAAACCGAAGACCCTGCCGAGGTCACCATGTCGGACTGCTAAGGGAGCAATGGTTTATTCCATGCCACCCATCTGGACCGTTTCCAGCACTTGTGGCCTTGCTGTACCACCTTCATACCCTTACCTGGTCATCTCGACATGCAGACATTTAAACCAATCCTACAATGAGACTGGCCCACGCTCGAACGGCGTTTCTCACCCCTACACTTTTAATAAGGCGCAGCCAAAAACCCCTCTCATCTCCTATCATGGTTAATGATAGATCCTGGCTTGGGTCTCTCTCTCACTTAATCACCTCGGCCAAAGCCATTCTCCTTTGTTTGATCCTGACCCTCTTTCCCGAGGCGAGGCGGGAAGCAACCCAAAAAGGAAACCATCTCATCAGAAGGACTCTCTCTAGAGGAGGATTTCTCTCTGCTTCTATCAGATTACCCTTAGCTTAGGCGCTTGCAGTTATTGGTGGTTTTTTTTTTTTGGTTTCCTGCTCATCGTTTATTTCTCTTTGTCTGCTTGTACTGAGTTTACCTCTCTCCCTTTCATCTTATCATCTCTCTTTCTCCAATGGGGTCGGAGTTTGGGAGAAAGGAAACAATCATTGCTCTTTCCTGCTTTTTTTTTCTTGGTTTGTCATTGCGCTTCCGTTTTCTTCCGTCCTCCTCGACCATAGACCACCATCCATTGCAATTGGCGTCCGTATTTAAGAATCGATTGGCCTCGTCTTCAAGTTTGCTCTCGTCATCCATCAATCGATGCTTTTTTTTTCTCTGAGTTCTAATCGAAGGCTCTGGGTTTTTTCCTTCTCGTCCAAGTTTTAATCAAGGCCTTTTCTTTTTTACCATAGGCCCTCTTCAATCAATCAAGTTTACCGAGTGCCACTACGTTTTGTCTAATCCTATCGTGTCCTGATGCGTCTAGCCCCCATCACACGCCATGTCGGCCAACCAACCATTCCCGAATGCATGGCAAGTGAGGAACTGAGAGCACGGGACTGGGGCAAAGCACAGCCAATGGTAGTCATTGTCGACATTTTTTCAGCATCACACTACCTCCAATCCCTAATCTTGCCCTGTTTCCTAACCGTACATGCCCACCGCATTCCCACTCGAGGGCAGATGCCAATTCGCCGCATCGTGATTGGGACCAAGCGAGGTAGGAGTGGATGGGTAAATGTGCATCCCAAGCAAGCAGCATGCACGGGAAGAAGAAAAAGACAATCCTATTCGGCCGCCGCCATGGCCAACCAAAGGGAGAATCTGGAACTCAGGAAGGTGAGGGGGGGCGTTCATGCAGCACAGCCCAATGCAGGTTTCTGTTTTCCCGTCTCTCGACTTCTTGTTGTGGAAAAGGTGGGCAGCAATGACGACGGCGTGCGTTTGCTGTTTTTCTGGGCGGGAACGGTGAAGAGGATGGAGGGTGGTGTTTTTGGTGTCATTGGTCCTGCTCTTACAACCCCTGGGCAGCCAGCAGACTGACTCTGGTATAGATGCATGTCTCTATTCAATCGGAACTTGTCAACTAGGGTGATTGCATGGATAGAAAGGGAAAGAAAACCACGAGAAAGAAAACGAGGCGGCGGCGGCGGCGGCGAAGAATGGCAAAGAACAGGTTGCGGAAGCGGAACTCTTGTGATGTGGCTGCATTAGAGGCAACCCCGAGTGGGGGGACGAAAACTGTCCCCCAAGTAGTGTGGGTTGGCTGCTGCCGGTATCGGTTGGTGCCTGAACCGCATATATATGGCCCTCCGTCAAAACACCACACACCCAAAAAAACAACAAAAAAAACACCCACTCACACAGGTTACAGCTCACCGGCCATGTGATGCAGGCTGCACAACGGGCCTTGGTAGAATTAGTCATACTTCAGAGAGAAGCCCGACGAACGGCGATTGACAAGAAAAAAGAAAGAGGGGAGAAAAAATGAAGCTGACTAGAGTGAAGAGTTGGGAGAATTCTCGACCTCCAAAACAGAAGAACAACAAACAAACAACCCCAAGAGCGCCGCTCCGTCGTCGTTGGCGCCAAATGGCCAATTACATCAAAGTGGTGGTGTGGATGCAGTGGAAATGCAATGGAGTGGGCGCAGTAAGAAAGGGAGGGGCGTGTGTGTGTGTGTGTGTGAGAGAGAGAGAGAGAGAGAGAGAGATCAGATGTGCGAGGCGCGCAC